TTAAATTTTTTGTGTTATTCAAGCTAAAAACCGCAAATCCTTTGTGCCATTTTTTTCAGATTTTAACACTAATGACAAAAATAGCTTTTAGTTTTGAGGTTTTCAAGTCTCTCCACTTTCAAGTAGTGGTCTTGTGTAACTGTAAATAACTGCCTGGGGACATCTCCAAGAAAGATTGCTGCTGGATGGACAGACATAACTATACAGACTTTGTTTCTTTTTCTATGTAGTTACCTTTTCAGAGATACAATGATGTGTTGCCAGCCCTGCTTCCTGTAAGGTCCTTGCCGTTCATTGTAATTTTTTTGTTTGTTTTTTTAATAAAACTTTTGTGCTTTGCCTCTGTTAAACAGCGGTCCTGAGCGCGCTGGCAGGAAGAGGACCCACAGCAGCAGTAGCAGTGAAGATGAGGATGATGAAGAACAGTGGGGGACGGGGAGAAAGAAGGCCCGGCAGACCTCCTCAGGAGCGGAGCCTCTGGACACTGGCCTCTCTCTGGCTGAGGACGAGGAGCTGGCGCTGCATTTGCTGGGCAGCCGGACCTAGTTCTACAGGACCACGTGACCAAAACCTGGCCCCACCTATGTGCTTATACCTCTCCCACAGCGGACTCTATTTGCAGAATCTTCTCCTGCATTTATAGATGATGTAATTTCCTTTTTTGTCAAATAAAACTTGATATTCTGGATGTTAAACGCTTCCAAACTTAACTTTGTTTGTTCAGAGTTATCTAATTGGATTTTGCCAGTCTGTATCTCTCTCTCTCTGTCTCTTTCTGTGTGAGTTGCAGTCTGTCTTTATCTCTCCAGATGAAGTGAAGTCAGGAATTCTCATCTGGCACTCTACCAGGTGACTTGAAAGTGTCTGTTTTTTGCAGTAAGAAAAAAAAAAGACCTACTTTGCTGATGCCAATCTTAATGGCAAAACATGTTCCGCTCTCAGGCTCAGGTACCTTCTGTATCTTAATTTAACTGCTGCCATTTTTATGGCTCAAATGTGCATCCAATCACAATACCCTTCCACTTAGCATGCATGCGGTTTGCTTGCCCGTTCCCCTTCCCGAGATTGAAGTGAAAGGGAGAGGCTCCGTGATTGGCTTCTGTTGTCCTCCAGTCAGAGCACAAAGGCCATGTGCTGAAGTATTTGGTTATCTGCATTCAGCCAGCTCATCTCTGGAGAGGGCTTGCTTTGGCTCTACATGAGAAGAATTCACTCTGCCATGGCTTAGCATGCATGCAACTTTGAAGTCTTCTTAGTGGCAGCCTTAGAATTGCTGCCTTGAAGGACTTCCATGACCATTTTTCACAGTTTAATCTTTCTGATCCTTGCTGCTCTTCAAAACACATCTGCTCTCTTTCTATGCGTCATTCGGTCCGAGTTGCTGATTTCAACTTGTGTGCACTCGTTATCTGTACAGGACTTTTTGTGGATGGTGACATGTTTTTTTGTGACTTTCTTTTGTTATTTTTGCAAACCAATTGGAAAACAGCTTAATGTCTGTGGAGAAGTGAATTGTTTCCCAGCCTCTGGGTTCGGATGATGTATGTATATCCTTACGCTCTTCTTTTCACAAGCACAGTTGCGAGTCACCGCTGCGGACAGGGCTGGCAAACGAGTAGATGAATTGTGTTTGTGTACAAGGGGGCTGGAGTGACTCTCTTTGTGTTTTGGCTTCATGGGTGTATGGTCATCCATCACAGATGTGAGTTTATAAGGAGCCCCTGCATCCTGCCTGGAGAGTCATTTCCCCCACCACTATTTCTCTGCTCTAATAACTATTTCAGCACAGAAGGGTGTGGAAAGGTTCAATTCCGTGCCCGGGCCATTTCTGAATAACAATGTGTGCCGAGCACAATGGAAAGACGCAATCATTAGAGCTAATGCTCAGATTGCAGCCCCTCTCTTTCAAAGATGGAAAAGGAGATGCTTTCTGCATGTAAATGCCAGCCTCCCGAGTAGCAGAGTGCGGCGGTTTTGTTTTTGTATTACTTTTTGGGTAGAAGACATTCTAATAACTATTTTGAGAAAGTGGGTGTTGGTAAACCTCAAATTCGTGCCTGTGTCTATTGGTTAGTGCAAAGCCATCCTACATGGGGTTGGATTTGTGCCTTGGCGTGGGACACATCACCTATGAAGGAGTGCATTGACGTGGATAATTACAGGCTATGAATCCACAGAGGTCTCCCCTGAGATGGGCTGGGTCGTCACAGTCCAGCGGATCTACAGGGATTTATCGCATTTGGATCCCTTCCTTCGGCGGGTGGCAGGGCGTAGTAGCTTCTAGTGCTGTGTACTTTATGAAGGATTTAATGAGATGGCCTGAGGGACCCTGTTTTAATCCCATTCTCACTCCTGAGATTTGTGTATTGCTTTTTGTGTATGTCTCTCTAGAGATTATACTAAATTGAATTTAGTGCCATGAACCTTTGTTCTCTCATGAGTATTACAGTTATTTGTTGTCTTACAAAGTGTACAGGATCTTTACCTCCAAAACAGTGTCATCATTGAACTCAATGGGTTTATACTCGTTCAGTTTTTTCCGTTGAGACTGAACACTTAATGTGCTGCACTTGTGAATGGAAACCAATTTATATGGCCAAATGATAACGGGGCATAATCGCTGTAGTTTAGTGCCCTGTCTAGGCCTGTCGGTTTTAAAAGCCTGATTGTTCTGGATGGGCAGATCACAGCTGGCACAAGACTAGTTGGCGAAATACAGGAGAAACAGATGGGTGCTGAGGGAGGCAGTGTCAGTGCTCAGAGGAACTGATTCCCGCAGTTCCCACAGTACCACCAGAATCAGTTTAACAGCTAGTGAGCTACTTTAAAGGAAGTTGTTAAAATATGTTGCCACAGTCATGTGATCAGGTTTCTATTTCTTGAGACCTGAGATCAGCTAGAGGGGTAGAGCTTTGGTCTATGGAGCAGTGAGGCTGTCTTCTCTGGAGTGATACACCATCCAGTACCTTTGTGATGAGTTGGAGTAGTGTTTGTAATCCAGAACTAATCACTGACCTCACTGGCTCTCATGTGGCTGAATAACATCAAATCCTCACAGCACTGTTCCAACTCTAGTGTAAAGCCTTCCCAGAAGAGAAGCGGCTGTTACAGCAGCAAACTCCCTATTAATACCCATGACTTCAGAATAAACTATGGACAACTTGGCATATAGTGCCACAAGGGTTCAGATTATTTATATGAAGTTTGGGGAGTTGTGCAAAAGCAAAATCTAAAGTTACTGTTTAGAAAAGAGTATTAAATATGTAATAATACAATAATTAGTAATTTTACACAAGTCAATGCATTTGACCATGTCCAAACCTCTCCTCATGACCGATATTATTTGTAGTTATCCAAGCCACAGTTTGATTAATCATGTCTTCATTCAGTTAAAGGTTTGTTGCTGGTGGATTTCAGTAAATCCATGCCATGGCTGAGTGTGTCAGAAAAATCTAGAACCAGACCTTTGTTCTGACTTGCTAAAAACACCTTTTTGTTGCTTCTTACTATTTACTGCATTATGTTCGCATTTGAAGAGTTTAATTCCATAATGATGTATATACATTTCTTTTTTGGATATAACACGTTTTTTTCTCTAATAAACATGGTATTAATCCTAACATAGCAAAGAATTTCTTGTGAATGAACTCTCAACAAGGAATTTCATTAAAAAGGAATTCATTGGAAATCTGTAATGTGTTTTGGAACTAAATCCTTCATTTATTCTGTGGTGTTTTTTAAATGGTTGTAAACATGTCCAGATTAAGATCTTGTGGTGCCCCTGGACATTACAGCTCTAGTGCCCCATCCTTACAAACACACTGAGAACCTAAGAGAAGTTTGCTGAAAAGGTCTCGGTTTTACTGAAAACTCGTCCTGTCAGGTCTTCACAACAAAATTCTAACCGGGACCAGACTAAACTCCTCAGCTATCCTGAACTACACTTAACTCCCCAGCTATCCTGAACCAAACTTAATTAAGCTGTCAAGAAACCAGACTAAACTCCCCAACTATCTTGAACCAGATTTAACTCAGCTATCCTGAACTAGACTAAACTCCTCAGCTATCCTGAACTACACTTAACTCCCCAGCTAACCTGAAGCAGATTTAACTCAGCTATCCTGAACCAGACTAAACTCCTCAGCTATCCTGAACCAGACTGAACTCCTCAGCTTGTAAAGATCCATCAGATGTCACTATAAAATGCCAAAATAAGATGCCAAAATGATCCTGTTTATGTTTTATACATATAGATGCTGCTATCTGCCAAATTTTCAGTGTTTATGCTTTTTAGATATTTATCAGGCTCACTGTTGTGATGTGTGCAAAGATTGAACATAAACTGACTGCTTCAAAAAGTGTTATGTTAGCAGATTAACATAATTTAAAACCATGCACTTTTTGGAGCAGCCTTTTGGTGCCCCTGGGCAGTCACCCAGCTCATCATATGGTAGATCCAGACATGTTTGTAAACATCATCAGGATTCTTTTTACTTTCGTTTTTTTTAAAGGACGTCATTATTATTATTATATTTTAATTTCTTGTCTAATCATTTTCTTGAAATCCACTGTGGAGATTCTTCCACTGCCTGAATGGGGCTGACCGTCCACACTCCAGCTGTTGAGCGCCTTCAGCACTGGATAGCGACACTGACGCCTCCTCGTAAACAGCTACGTGCAGCATATGATTTCCCTCTCGGTGCTTTAATTGAACACAGTCTCCCAGCATGCAGGAGCGGCCACAGGATTGTTCAGGGAGCTCTGTGCGCACAGCAAGCCTGTCGTTTTGGTCGTGTGACACATTTCAAACGGGCAGCTGAGGAAGCGTTTGGAGGTGTTTAACCTCTCTGCAGCTGGGAGCTCATCACTGTGCCCTAGGCTGAGCTCTGATTATCATTTGGACCTGCTGGACGGAAGGAGGGCTACTGTGGAGCTTTACGTCAGCTGAAGTCTGAGAGGTTTCCAAACCACCTTGCTTGAGTGTGTGTGTGTGTGTGTGTGTTGGATGTTAGCTCGGGCTCTGCTGTGACCAGACACTGTTTTCAGGTAAGAGGCTGAAAACTGAGTGTAATGTTTTTTTGTTCATGTCTTTCAGCGTTTGAACGCGCTTTCATGCGTGTACAGTAGTTTCCCTTTCTTGGGGGTAATTAAGGTTGAATCGAGCTGCATTTTTCTCACTTGCAGGACATTCATTTGTTTCCTTCTTGGTTCGTTTCTAAAGCCGTCCTGAGGGATTCTCTGCGTAAAAACGGGGGTCTTCTCTGGAGAGGCGCAGTCGTACTCCTAATCAGCCCGGGATTCTGAAGAGTTGACACCGCACGGAGATCCACGTCCCCCTCCCGGTGCTGAAAGATGCCCTTCAGCCCTCTAGCCATGAGCTCCGGGGCAGCGGAGAGCGGGGCTTTCGGCGAGGGGCTCGAGAGCAACGCCACATGCGCCGAGAAAGTTGAGCACCTCCCGCCGCCGTTCTCCTCCACTTCTGCTCTCACTTTGCTGGGCGTCGTGATCGTGGCGATCGTGGCGCTGTCCCTGACCACACACCACTGCCACAAAGGCAAGATGAAGAGGAGGAAGATCGAGAGGGCGCAGGAGGAGTACGAGAGGGACCACTGCAGCCCCGTCCCGGCCAGAGCCAAGCCTGATTTGGGGCGTTGCACCATCATCCGTCCCGCTTCCAGAGACACTGAGCATCGGCCAGCTTCCCCAGGCAAGCAGAGCGCAGCCCCTGATCATCCACCCACCACTTCACCCACGGAGACTGAGGACATGAAGGGCGTGGAGGAAGCGGTGCTCGAGGCTGTTGCTGTGTCATGATAAGCTGGAGAGGGAAAAAGTACTTGAGACTTGTAAATATGCAGAAATATACCAGTAAACACAAACACCAACACCAACGCCGTTCCGTATTAGCATTAGCATCTCTGGAAATATATCTACTTTCTCCGGTTTCTTCTCCTTCCAGAAAGGAGTTACAGCTTCCCCCCAGTGTAGGCTAGAATCCCCCCCCAATCCCCTCTTGTGTTCTGTACATACCGGCCCTCCTGCATTGTCAGTGGACAGTGATGGATGGGGAAGAAACTGGACAGGACAGCTGAGGGACATCAGGCGGGTTTTCATCAAACTGGACGTGGAGCGCTGTCCGAGGTGCTGATCACGAACTTCCTTCTGCTGTGGAGTGTTTTATATGGAGGAAACTGTCCTAATATGACACTGATTTTTGATTCATCTGATGCTCTAAAGCCTGCGCTGTATGAAAAGCAGCTGAGACTGTTTGTTTGTTTGTTTGCCTGCGCTACTTTAGATAGGCAGATATGAGAAAGCTGCTGTCGAGGGACTGTAATGATGCACCGTTTATTCACTCGTTAATTAGCCATGACGTCCTTACTGAAGTCAACTCTAGTCAGACTACCGCAACAATTATGTCAGGAGCGCATAACATAAAGTCCATCATAGTACAGAGCACCTTTACTGAAGCTCTGTCAGCCTTGGAGGCCTCTTAACACCAGTGAAGTGCTGAAAGAAAGGAAGTGAAAGTTTTACTGTTGTTTTCTTATATAGCTCTCAGATTATTTTGTAGTGTATTATTTGAAGCAAGATATAGTGTAGTTGCAAATTATCAATGCTAAATAAAGATTATTAAACAATGTATTTGGTTAATTATTGACTGTTTTCTTATGTAATTCTGTTTTGGGAGAGTTCAGAGACTTGTTTATGCTTAGAGGCGTCTACAGGCAAGTTGGGAGATTTATTTATTTGTGTTTGTTTGGTTGCTTGCTTAAAAAAGATTATTTAAAGGTGTGTAAGGTGAGTGGTAACCCTCACAGTTACGTACCCCTGCTCTAATGTCTCTAACAGCAGTTGTTATGATTTTTATTAAGGAAATTATATATATATTTATATATTTATTTATATTTAAATTTATACACAATGTAAGGGACAACAGGCATTTTCAAATAATGTCAAAAACTGAAAAATGCCAAAAATGGACATGTTCTGGCAGCAAAAAAAAACAACAACAAATGTCTCTGTGTGTATATATATATATATATATATATATATATAATATATATATATATACACACAAATTATTATTACATATATGTATATGTATTCAGCAGAAGTAAGGACTTTATTTATGGACATGAAATGACACAGCAGGTCATTCACTCAATCTCAAAACGGCCTCCCAGTGCATAATCCCGACTACCTGCAAATGGGATCTAATTGTTTTTTGCAAGTTCGAACTGTGCCTTCAACATATGGTGACAGTATGAGGCAAGACTGATTAAAGGAGGGGAGAGAACTCTGAGAACTTAGCCTGGAGTTCTAGGCAGCTTCTGCTTGGGTCTAGAAAGCCAGAAACACAAACAGACCCCATATTACATGAGCTCCTCCAATGAAAAACCATATATTAACCATTCAACCATTTTTGATTATCAGTTATTTATTATTTTTTTTTATTCTGTGCAACCTTTTACATCAAAAAGCCAAACTATAATTTATATACATTTTAGTGAACCTTTATTTTAAATACAGGATATCAAACAATGCCATACCATGCTTATAAGATTTTTACAAAAATTGTCACATTTACTTCAACTGTGGAAGGACTGAGGGCTGAGGAACGGAGAGCAGACGGGGTGGTGTTGGGGACTGTGAAAACTTTGTCATGGGAAACAGTAGGTAGACAAGGGAATTTATAGAGTGTTAGACTAGAAGGAGGAGGGGTTTCGGGCGTGGTTCTCCCCCCAAATTTCAGTTATTCCATAACTCCATACTGTAGAAGAATATGGTAAATGGATTTAATCAGCTATGACACATGAATCTATAATAATCAATACAAGTTCAAATTGCTTGGTGCATCACATTCATATGTACATAAACTGCAAAGAACTGCCGATAGGCAGGAGATAGAACTTTCTCATCAGACATGGATGTTTCTCTTAGCACCTGGTATCAGTATCAGAGGCAGGAACAGGCAGCTCTGAGAAAAGCTTTTTAATGTCCCCTCAATTCAATACCCCAGAGACCTGGACAACATCGCTAGCCATGTGGTTTTTAGCATGAGACAAGAAACCAGCAAGAAATCCCCTGGTGCTCTAAATGTCTGCTTTTCAAGGTTATTTGGAAGGTGAGAATTGATTCTGAGTAGCAGCTGCTAAGCTTGTGCAGTGCCTGGAATTACCTCCAAAAAAGGGATTTGTTGTTTGAGAACTTTTGCAGTTAGATAACAAGAAAAATTATAGCTGATGCTATCCTATATTACCAGCGGACCTCTTTTCTGTTACAGCATGTTACATACCATTCAGCACTGCTGCAGCTACGGTTCTTTTTCCTTTGGGGCAATAAACAATCTGTTAATAGCATATTCACCTGTCAATCAAAACATACCTCTATCAGCAGAGGCTCCAGGGCCCCTTTAGCTTAGATGTCCTTAATGCCGTGGGCTGTTGAATCTCTCCGAACATGTTTGGGGCAGATCAGTGCCTGCAGGGGTGACGCTGGCCTGCCAGTCATATGAGTTAGCCTGGTAGGCAGCTACAGCAAATCAGCAGCATCCAACATGAGCAGCCCCTGCAAGGCCCGGTTTATTTAAAGCCAAGCAAGGTGTTAGGACAGCCTGACTGAGTGCCAGGACTGCTCTGCAAAAAGACCTGGACCCCAGCTCTGAGAGTCAACATGGCCGACACCAGCATGCGAGTCAGTGGGGGAGCTGTCAGATTTGGGGCCACCTATGGAGGCAACCGTCTGTTCTCTGGGGCAAGGGGTGCTGGAGGTTCTAGCGCAGCCCTGTCCCGCTCGCTGGGCTTGGCTAGGGGAGCCGGAGCTGGCCTCGGCCTGGGTGGAGGGCTTGGTTTGGGTCTAGGATTGGGGGGAGGCCTGGGGCTTGGTGCTGGGGCTGCTGGAGCCGGTTTTGGCCTGGGTGGTGGTTTGGGCCTGGCTGCTGCTGGGGGTGCCAGAGCAGCAGGCTTCAGAGCAGGTGTGGCCCCACTGAGGGCTCGCCTAGGTGGCCGTGTCTTCAAGATTGGAGGCTATGGCTTCAACCCATCATTCCTCAGCTCCACCACCACAATAGATGCAGGTGTCAGTCCGGTGCCCAGCATTGACCCCACACTGCCATCCATGGACACCGTGCAGGTCACCCGCATGAAAGAAAAAGAAGAGCTTCAAGCCCTCAATGACAAATTCGCCTCCTTCATTGATAAGGTAAACTAAAAGCCTTCTTTTCGCAGTCAATTCAAGTCAAACTTTATTTATGTAGCACTTTTCACAACAGGCAGCTTTACAGGATATTGGGTGTGTTATATTTGGTGTGATGGTCATTAGTTGGTCTATATGTATATCCATTGGCTCAGTATTTCAGCATCAGAACGTCCAATAAACCCTCATACAATTCATGAACACCTGCTGTGTCCCTCAGGAATAGCTCATATCAATTTCTTTGATACTGTTGCTTAATGATTTTAGTGATTTTTCAGTATGAAACTCCTACTCCCTCTAACCTAGAAGTTCTGTTTAACTGATGTTCTTCAGGCTCGGTCCCTGGAGCAGCACAACGCTGTTCTGAAAGCCAAGATCTCCATGTTCACCAACCCTGAGCAGGGTGGCCCCGCCAGCACCTCCATCCTGCTCACATCAGCAATCGGAACCTACAAATCCCAGATCGACAGCCTCACTGCCACCAAAGAGGCCATCATTGCTGAGATCGAGCACTACAAAGGCATCATTGACGATGTACAAGCCAGGTCAGATTCACATATTTAGTTTCATTATGCAGAATTTGTTGCTTAACCTGCTTATAGTTTAATTCAGGTGTGAATACAAACAATGTATGTGCATTATCAGAGTAATGAAGTTGAATGCTGTTTTTTTGTCATTTAAGATACGAAGAGGAGACAGCTCAGACCAAGTCTCTAGAGATGGACTGGTCCACGTTAAAGGAGGTATGCAGGTTTAATTGATAGTAGACTGCATGTTCTTTGGTGCTATTATGTTACATTAATATGTTTTTTTTATTGTTTTCTTTAAACAGGAAGTGGACCACCTGTATCTGACCATTTTTGAGCTGCAAACCAGCATTAGTGGCCTGGAAGATCACATTACTCTGTCCAAGCAGGTGTATGATGCTGTGAGTACCTGTTTCTCAGCAGCAGTGGATTTCAGTATGAAAGGCTTGGTCACTGGAGCTGCACAAACCATTATACATTATGGCACTGCTAATTGTGTTCATGTGTGGGTATGTGTGCTCTTCAGAAAGTGAAGGAGGTGAGGAACATTGTGACTGGCAGTGTGAAGTCAGCAGTCTCCATCTCAGTAGACAACACGGCTCAAGCCCAGGACCTGACGTCTGCCCTGGCTGAAGTTAAATCCCACTACGAAACTCTGGCTCAACGCAGCAAGCAGGATGCTCTCCTCTCCGTGCAGGACAGCGTAAGAGACCTTCATAATCCAGTTGCAGAAACAATCACAGTCTTCTCACACTGAATTACATGGCGATTGCAGGCCTTTGATGCAGACTCTATTTAATTTCATGCTTATGTCTCCCCCTAGTGGTCGTTTAAAATATCCCTGATGAATTCTTGTACTCTGACTTGCAAGCAGTTTACAGATATTCAAAGACCTGAGTTGGACGCTGTTATAATCTCATTTGTCCTGGTGTTTTTTTGACTGCAGCTCTCTATGATGACCGTATCATCCCAGCCCAGTACTCAGTCCCTCACTGCAGCCAAAGAGGAGCTGCGAGTCTACAAGCTACAGATCGACTCAGTGCAGAGAGAGATCGACCGGCTCAAATCACTGGTGTGTGTCTACCTGATGGTGTCACTGACAGAAGCACCAGTTAACCCTTTAACACTAAGGATCTGTATGTGGGTCTACTAATAATAACTGTTTAACACATATATTAACACATAAATTAGTTTCATAGTTATTACCGAATCATTTGTAGTAATTACTGAATAATACGTCTTAAAAACTGAATAACAAGCTTGGGGTTTAAGAGGTTGAGTACTTGCATATAAAATCTTATGTAAGTCCAAACAGCAATAGTTAACCCCTCAAAGGGTACCTGCTACCTATTTAAACATTAAAATGTAAAAAAAAATAAATTAAGTCATTCACTAGTTTGATATAAAATGTGCAACCCTAAAGAAACCAACAGAGTTAGAATTGTTCACAGTGGTGATGATATGAACCAGATGCCCAAACCGTTTAAGCTACTTTACAGATAGGTTTTACATAACATGGGCACAAATACACTGAGATGTTGTTCTATGATAGTTTTATAAGAAGGTTTTGGCCTCATGTAGTTTTTTAAATCCAGTCATAGCGGAGAGGGGCACACACAGGGCGTCATAAGGCAAAATAGAACCAAAGAAAACTTATTTTTTCATATTTGCTACTTTCAAAATATACCTATACCTTTGATACACCTTAAAAATATACCTGTGATTCCCTGGTTACTTTGAATTGTAAATAGTATATATATATATATATATGTTTGTGCTGTAGACATTGTGACTTTGGGTTCCCATCACCATTGGGGTAATCAGAGTCAGATTTTATACCATGCTCCAAACCACTCTGAATGACTTTGTTTACATCTCATTGAGTTTATTTTCAGTTAAAGAGTTAGAAATAGAAGCC